CCTAATTGGTAGGCCTACAAATAGCCAACGCCTAGCCTTGGATCGTTTTGACAGGTCCAGGCCGTGTGGGCCGTACCGTTTACAAGACATTATGCGCCCTTTTACGTGGACATCTGGTAAGCTCAATAGTTTAATGCACTTGACTAATACACCAAAGGCACCAACCCGGACCCCCCCCCCCCACACACTCTTCGAGTTGTGTATAGAGAATATGACAAAACATACACACAACATAATTACAACCTTACCATCCCCCAACCACATGAACAAACAAACTACGGGTTGCGCACCCGTGCCCTCACGGTAAGTCAATTGCTTTGTAAGGAGGGAAAACCGTGGATATTGTGAAGGAAAAACAAGAGAAGGGGGGCCAGGAGGGGTAAACAGGACATTTTTGGCTGAAATCCTGGGCGCCTGGGTACCAACCCCCCGCCTGGGTTGGCGACCAGGCGGCCGTAAAGTCATGACCCCCGGCGAGCCCCGGGCAACATCCGCGCAAAGAAAAACAACCCGACGTTTTTCCGGCCTGGCGGTCGCTTGAGGCCACGCCGACCCCCCAGGCCGCGAATTTTTTTTACGCCTGCGGCTCTACCGGCCCCGCTGCGGAGTAACGAGTATGCAGGCATAGCAGTAAGAATACGATAGACTAGGAAGTAAGCGTCTGATCCCACAATACTTACGGTTAGTAAAAAGCTGCGTTTTGGCGGATCCCACAGTATTCCGATTTCATAGGAGGTCGGGGTAGCTTCAGAGGCGAGTGGAAACATTTGTAGTCGTGGCGGGCAGGGAATGAACGGCGCCGAAAAAGCTGAAGGGAAAGTGCAAGAGAGCTCGGTCCGTACCCTGCGGTGAAAAAGAAGGGGCACTTTTCTATTTTTTTCGTTAAATTGTATGTGTCCGTTTTGGTGGGCTGGTTTGTCTGTGGTTCGGTTTGCTGTGTGACACGACCTAGGAGGTCCCGGTAGTGTCCGTGCAAGTGGACCTTTTGCCAGCCCCAAAATGAACCGGCCCATCGAAAACGGCCCAAACCCACGTGAAAGCTGCCAACGAAACGGGCCAGTGGGGCCCCCATTTTCTTTTACGGCCCGACTGGAGCGGCCCCTGCTTTCTCCTTACTTTTACGGATTCGTCTTCCGTAAGTAGAGTGGGATCAGACGCTGATACTCTGGAATAGTATGTTTCAAGTTTGAAAGTTACCTACTTTGTAGTACAACCTTATAAGGCAAGTGAATGTGGATGACGAGGGAAGTTTCTCCCTGTAGGTACAAGACCTGTAAGCTAAGCTGAATGATGCTGCCGGACACCTGGGCAAATTGTGAGGTTCCCGGCCTCAAGTTGCTTTATAATTGAACTGATGGAAGTTAAAAAAAACAAACAAAAGGAAAACAAGTACGCTATTGATGGCCGTTGATCTTGAAGATCGACGACGGCCACAGATCGCACGCTGTAGCACTGTGCCCGCGCGATTTCGTGTGGGCGGGCAATCGATTTCGAACACCCACACGAAATCGCGCGGGCCTACAGTGCCTGCACTTGGACATTGCCGCGCCCGCCCGCTGCCTCGACACCCCGCCGCGCCCGCCCGCTGCCATCGACGAGGTAAGACTTCTTTTTCTTCTTTTGTTTTTTGTCTTCTTCTTTGTCTACTTTCTTCTTCTTCTTTCTTCTTTTTTTTTTAATGTCGTTTGTCTGTGTGTGTGTGTGTTTTGGGGAGAGAGAGAGAGAGAGAGAGAGAGAGAGAGAGAGAGAGAGGCCGCCGTGCGACCTCGCTGCCCGTTCGGGCGACATTTTCGCGTCCCCTGCTACCCCCTCTCCCTCCTCCTTATCTTCTTCTTCTTCTTCTTCTTCTTCTTCTTATCTTCATCTGCTTCTTGTTCTCCTTCTTAATATCTTCTTCTTCTTCTTCTTCTTCGTCTGCGTTCTTCTTCTTCTTCTTCGTCTACGTTCTTCTTCTTCTTCCTCTTCTTTCTTCTTCTTGTTCTTTGTCTTCTTTCTTCTTCTTCTTCCTCTTCTTCTTTCTTCTTCTTGTTCTTTGTCTTCTTTCTTCTTCTTTCTTCTTCTTCTTCTTCTCCCTCTTCTTCTTAGTAAGTGCGCTGAGCAAGACGCCATATCCGCGACCGCCGAGCGACCGAAAAAAAAAAGAAAAAAAGAAAAGGACTTGCAGCACCGGATGGCGGAGGGACCCGACGAGCGAGCGAGCGAGCGAGAGAGAGAGAGAGAGAGAGAGAGAGAGAGAGAGAGAGAGAGAGAGAGAGAGAGAGAGAGAGAGAGAGAGAGAGA